CCACGAGCTTCCTCATAGCCGTCGAACAATTGCCTATCAATAGTTAGTACATCTGATATCTACGAATTAGTGATATACCGAGTGCTGTAACAATTGCCGCGAGCATAGGCGGCGTCCAGGTTCATCCACACGATCGGGCCTTAATCTGGAACTTCCCTGGCATCGTTTCTACACGACGACGAGTGTGGTTGTTCCGAGACCAGTTAGCTCTATCCTTACTACCAGCGACAACTGACGTCGCGCTCACGCGCTTTCCGGCTTGGCAGCCGACGCTGCGCCCACGAGCTGTCCGCCTTGCAGTCGACGCCGCAGCCACGAGCTTCCCCATAGCCTTCGGAAATCGCTATCAATGGTAGTAAATCTGATATCTGCGAATTAGTGATATACGAGTGCTGTAACATTGCTGCACGCATAGCCGGCGTCCAGGTCATCCACACGATCGGCCTTAATCTGGAACTTCCCCTGGCATCGTTTCTACACGAGGTCAGTGGGGTAGTCCGAGACCGTTAGCTCTATCCTTACTACCAGCGACAACTGACGTCGCGCTCACGCGCTTTCCGGCTTGGCAGCCGACGCTGCGCCCACGAGCTGTCCGCCTTGCAGTCGACGCCGCACTCACGAGCTTCCCCATAGCCTTCGGAAATCGCTATCAATGGTAGTAAATCTGATATCTGCGAAATTAGTGATATACGAGTGCTGTAACATTGCTGCACGCATAGCCGGCGTCCAAGATCATCCACACGATCGGCCTTAATCTGGAGCTTCCCCTGGCATCGTTTCTACACGAGGACAGCGGAGAAGTCTGAGACCGTTAGCTCTATCCTTACTACCAGCGACAACTGACGTCGCGCTCACGCGCTTTCCGCTTGGAAGCCGAGGCTGCGGCCCACAACCTGTCGCCTTGCAGTCGACGGCCGCACTCACGAGCTTCCCCATAGCCTTCGGAAATCGCTATCAATGGTAGTAAATCTGATATCTGCGAATTAGTGATAAACGAGTGCTGTAACATCGTATAAAGCTTGCCGAAAACCGAGATTTTAGTCTTAACTTTAAGCTTAGCGTCCCACCAGACGTGATTAGGAAGCTCAAGCAGCAGTAAAAGAAGGCTCTGTGTTCCACAGACAGTTTGCACTCCACAATTAGCGTTGGAGCAGCGATTCATGAATGGATGGAGGGACCTCGATACCTCAATGTGATGGGGTCACACAGCACCTTACACAGAGGAAGGGTATTTAATACCCGAGTGATCGTTAGTCAAAAATTTCACCTCTGACGCTGAAATATGAATACCCCCAACTGTCCCTATTAATCATTACCCTGGTGTGCAAACCAACAAAATAGACCACCAAGGCCGTATCTTATTATTCCATGCTAATGTATTCAAATGAGCAAACGCCTGCTTTAAACACTCTAATTTTTTCACAGTAAACGATGCAAGCCCACCAACCCACCAACTTAATGGCAGAAAGGCAGCCTCACAAAAAATGCCTCGAATATCCATAAGTACACACTCCCAGAGGAGCGGACCGGACATCCAAAACAGAAATCCAACTACGAGATTTTTAACTGCAACAACTTTAATATACGCTATTGGAGCTGGAATTACCGCGGCTGCTGGCACCAGACTTGCCCTCCAATTGATCCTCGTTAAGGGATTTAAATTGTTCTCATTCCAATTGCCCGACTCGAAGAGCCAGAGCATTGTTATTTATTGTCACTACCTCTCTGTGTCAGGATTGGGTAATTTACGCGCCTGCTGCCTTCCTTGGATGTGGTAGCCGTTTCTAAGGCTCCCTCTCCGGAATCAAACCCTAATTCCCCGTTACCCGTTAATGCCATGGTAGGCCCATATCCTACCATCCAAAGCTGATAGGGCAGAAACTCAATCGATTTATCGCGCAAAAGCGCGATCCGCACAGTTATTATGACTCAACACAATACCAGCCCGAAGACTGCATTGGTTTCAATCTAATAAATGCTACCCGCCCGACAAGCAGTTGGGTATTGATGCATGTATTAGCTCTAGAATTACTACGGGTATCCAAGTAGTAAGGTACTATCGAGTAGACTATAACTGATATAATGAGCCATTCGCAGTTTCACAGTACAAAATTGTTTATACTTAGACATGCATGGCTTAATCTTTGAGACAAGCGTATGACTACTGGCAGGATCAACCAGGTTTATATCCTCCATACTAAAGAAGACGACAAGTCGCCCCCAGCACAAAACAACAACACAGAGGCCAGCCGCAAACAGCCCGCAAACCCGCGAAAACAGTCGCTAGGCCACTCGCAGCTTTTTCTCCAAAGCCGCACATTAATAGCCGAGAAATCTTTTGGCACAGAAAAGACCAAAAATATGATCTTCCTCTCTTCAACAGTTCCCCCTAAAAATAGGTAGATCAAGAAGCGAATAATAGAGCACGACGCAGCATACTTTGGGTTGTAGTCCCCTCCGCACGCCGCATAACTAGCACCAGATCAAAAACGGTTCTACCCGAAATTGAAACTTTCCACCGGAAAAATCCAGCGCAAAACGCACCACAGAAGGTATCGCATAATGACACACAATCCGAAAACTGCACGAAACACTATACAACCAACCGCAGCACACCTTCGCACCGGCACCGACAGAGCGTTGATGTAGCACCTCGCAACGTCAGCAAACGCTTCCTCGCATCCAAG